ATTATTATTATTATTATTATTATTATGATTTTTTTTTTAATAATGGCTCCAATCTATTGGTGGGGAGCTGCACCTGTTGGGAACCAGGCCCAACGTCCCTGTAAAGCATATGCAGAGACCGGGGTAGTCTACCCGGGAGGAGAAACATAACATAGACAAAATGGGAACAGGGAGGTAATTTTAAATCAGCATAGACGAGGAGGGAAGGGATACCTGGCCCTCTCAGTGATTAACTGCCTGATAGGAAGAGAGCAACCTGGGCCTAGGAGGATAATCCTATAGAAGTTCCGAGTAGAAAAGGGAGTTCTTGTCTGTAAAACCGGCCCACCGATAAGGGGTGGACCATTTCTTTTGAAACTGTCGTCTAGCTAGATCCGTCGAAGTAGCTTGCCGCTTGATTCTAATCCAGTCTGCCATAATATCTATTCTAATTGAATGTTTGAACAGAGCAAATAATGAAGGAACCGAGGAGTTAGAGTTGAGGAAACGCCTGTCCCTCCTGGCGAGCCAGATGCACCAGAAGGACCTCACCCTGAAAACCTGTTCAACCACTCCAGTCTGTTGCTTGCTGAGGTGGGGACCCAGTCTGCCCGTGATCACGAATTCTTGATTCCAGAGGCCTGTAACGTTGTAAGCGTCTGCCCACATCGAGTTCAGGTTGTCCCAGAAGCCTCTGGCAATGACGCAGACGCATTCCCACCATAAGTGCAACCAGTCTTCGAAACATGGGTGTAGACACGCATCGCATGTCGTAGAGATGTCCATGCCTTTCTCTGCGCACCATAGTGAGGTCAGGACACAAGAATGTAGATGCATCCATTGAAGACCCCCTACCTTAGCCTCCAGGGTAAGGGAGGAAGTAATGATGTGGATGAAAAATAAAAGCCATTTGGAGGATAATGCTTGAAGGTTGAGAGCGGAGAGTCTACGTTGCCAGTTCAGCGTGAGGCTTGTTTGCAAGGAGTGGGCTTCAGAAAAAAGAGAGTAACCTATCTGGGAAGAATATTCCCTGATAGGCACGCTGTTACCAGGGCCATAGGCCTGTTGAGCTGGGTGGGGCCGGGGCCAAGTCCCACTAGCACCGTTGAGCTACCTCAACGCCTGAATCTGGACGTGTTTTGTGGAGACGTGCAGTTCAGGAAACTCAACACCATTTCTGCACATCTCCGCAGAAGCGTCCAGATTCGGGCGTTGAGGTAGCTCAACGCTAGCTCAACGCTGCTAGTGGGACTTGCCCCCCGGTCAGCTCAATGATGATAAAGAAAGAAAAAAGAATGTGCCCCCAATCAATGAGGAAAAAAAACACAGAATTTCGGGGGGGAAAAAAAAAAATAAAAAAAAATAAAAAAAATCCTTCCTGCCTCCGGCCGCCCACGGCCCATCGACCTCCCAAATTCCCAATCCAAAGCTGTGGCGCATAAAAAAAAAAAAAAAAAAAAAA